GGGTCAGGAGTAGAGAAAAGCCTCCTTTTCGTCCACAGGTAATTACTTTTTGCCATCACTAAATGCCGCCAAATTGATTTGGTTGTCATGTGCAGGTAGGGCAAACTGAGCTAATCATAGCCTTTGCATGAAGCAGCCCTATATGTCTAGTAATTCAGCAGTATGCATGCCAGGTTTAAGAATATTCCTAAGTGAAGTCTGCATGCAGTCTCTATCGAGTTGAACACAAAGGCTAGGGTGTTTTGAAAGAAATGATAAAAATACATCGCAATGGCATTTGAATCGTCAATGCGGTGTACAATTATCGAAGAAACTGGGAATCGAGTGACCTAGATGACGTAAATGGAGCACCACTACCTGTCAACACTACACCACCTCCACACCACTAACATGAAAGCTTATTTTGAAAAGCATAGAAGACTTGTATAATTCTGTGTTGAAATATGCCTCTTTTTACAACAGTGTACCCAGTTTCATCTGTTGGCTTTCCAGATTCAGCCTCTTCAAACAGGCATCCCACCCGTTTATAGAGACATTCTTGAAAGAGCTTGGTTGGAAAATCCTTGTTTAAGACCAACATTTAAGGAGCTGCATGAAGAGATCCAGCAAATGACCAAGGGAAAGTAGGTTTGCTAGATTTCATATCTTCTTCTCCATTATCGCAAGAAAAACGAATATCGTAGAGCACATGTTCAAAATGATGGAGAACTACTCCAGTCGGTTGGAAGATCAGGTGCGGACTCGAACGGAGGAACTGGAGAAAGAGAAGAGGAAGAAAGAAATTCTCATTTGTCGCATGCTGCCTCCGTGAGCCTCCTGTGAATATGATTTTTCACCAACCGAATTGAAGGGGTTTAGTGAATTGTACCGCATGATCTCTGATCGAGAGAATTGGCTACTACGATCCTATAGTTTCAAATTTATCGGTGTTTGATTACGCAGCTTTAGGCTATGAATAGTTTTTGAGTACAAAATTGGCCCTAATTTGGAATTGTAGAGTTGTTGCAGAAGCGTTGAAGGCAGGTGTTGCAGTAGCACCTGAGACCTACGATGAGGTGTCAATCTACATTAGCGATATTGTTGGATTTACGACCATCTCTGCAATGTCCACACCATTACAGGTTGTTGATCTTCTTAATGACCTGTACACACTGTTTGACAAGACGATTGCTAACTACGACGTCTACAAGGTGGGTTTGTTTGGAGGCGCTTGAGCGTACTTTTAGACAAAGGTTTGATCCCCATATAAATATTTGGGGTGCAGATTTCTACCCTTAGCAACTAAAAAGAATGTTCTCCTTTTCACACTTACTGGGCGGCATTTGGTTTATTAGATCCTGCAAATCGCCTCAAAACATGGTGTGCTGACTGAAAATAAAAAAATAAAATGACTCCTTTCTAAAATTGCCCAAGACCAGTGATGCATCAAAGCGCCGTTTTTAATCGTTTGCTTAACTTGTTTAGACAAAGTAGCTGCCTATTTATTTCACTGCTTTAAATGGCTTGCAAAGCCTACGGTTAATTAAAATAGCAGAACTTCTACTTGTTTAGATAGGATAAGTAATGTGCAGATTGTTATTTCCTTTAAAACTCAAAAGTGCCTTTTCCAACGTCTGATTACTCATTGTTGTAACCGACACGCTTGAGTCTCTTTTTAATGCACGAGAACAGGCGGGTCAGAAGTGCTCAGAATTTACGCCATTTGAAGTTGATATTTACTCTTTGTAGGTAGAAACGATAGGAGATGCATATTTGGTGGCTTCAGGACTGCCAGTCCGTAATGGGCGACGCCACGCGGGTGAGGTAGCCATGATGGCTCTCGACCTGCTTAGTGCTTGTGGGACTTTCACCATTAAGCACTTACCGAAGGTGCCCTTGAGGTTACGCATCGGTCTGCATAGCGGTACGTTGAATGAACACCCGGGCTAGTTCCATTTTAAGCTACACTTGCGTGATGCATATTGAGGTAGGCAAATGAATGTCAAAGGCACATGTGCAATGCATTCGGTGAGGTGGGCACTCCAAAGCTGGATTTTAATGTCCTGCTTTAGCCATTAATCTTATCTGCATACGCAGGCTTTGCAGTGCTGTGCGCTTTATGCTGCCATCGTCACATGTGTGTCACGTTCCAAATTTTTTATTCTACCACTAGGCCTTTGATTTTAATTTTACTTTTTGTGGCAGCTGAGTCATTCCTAAGCAACTGACGCATGCTGTTATTTTCAAACAATTGCGAATTTCTGGCCTAGTGGTGAGCAGAATGCACCACAGTATTAGTAGTTGAAGCAAAGTAACCCAAGGCTCACCTTTGATTGAAATCTACAATATTAATAGAAAATGGATATGAAGATGATTTTTTCACTGTTAGGACCTTGTGTTGCTGGTGTCGTGGGACTTACTATGCCACGTTACTGTCTTTTTGGCGATACCGTTATCCGAGCACTACAATTGGAGTCATCTGGAGCCGGTTAGTAAGATTATTCCTTGTTTCTTTCCCTCTAACTACGATCATAACGTAACATGCCCTTATTTTAGCCTTTAGGATACACATCAGCGAACGAATAAAAGAAATATTGGACGAGATAGGTGGCTACCACGTTGAGTACCGTGGTTTAATTGAATTTGAAGGCGGTGTGGAGACAACAAGCTATTGGCTCACTAGTAGTGACAATTTTCACAAGCCTTTACCC